CATTCCTCCCCCTCTCCTCATTCCCTTCCTCCCCCTCTCCTCACTTCATTCCTCCCCCTCTCCTCACTTCATTCCTCCCCCTCCCCTCATTCCCTTCCTCCCCCTCTCCCCATTCCCTTCCTCCCACTCTCGTCACTCCCTTCCTTCCTTCACTCCTCTCCTTATCTCCCCTCCCTTCTCAATCCTTTCCTCTTCCTTTCTCCTCACCTCCCTTACACATTTTCCTACCTCTACCCCACACTACCTTTCATAATCTGTTGTAGTTCCATTTGTAAAGTTTGAATCTCGCGATGCATCACTCCATCTGTCTTCTCTTCTTTCTTTAAACGATGAATGGAAAGACCTAAACAATCGAACAATTTATCATTCAGTTCTCATAATAATGGGAATGATTATTCTCTATTCCTTGCCAATTACACAGTAACACGCGGTGCTGGCATAATTCCAAGCCAAAGACTTGAGTGATTCTAAAATATTACAAAGTTCTTACTTCCGTCCACTACCGCTGCTACATCGTTATCTTCAAGATAGATCACTCGATTGGTGTGTTCTATTACAGCACTGGAACAGAAACAATTTTACTACAGGAGGAAACCTAAATTTTATTTATAGTGGATAGTTCTATCAGTTCTAAACTGTTCTCCATAGAGGTCCAGTAAGAATCATCTCTTACTGATCCAGTGTTACTATAAATTAACTTTATTGATAGTGGATATCTTACCTAGCATCTGAGGCAAAGAAATATTCAATAGCTGTTCCTTCAGTGATATTATAATACATTGAGCTAGTGCTGCCCATGCTGTCAAGACTGGCACTTCGAGACAACTTCATTGGACTATCTACAAAAATCAAACCACACAAAATATGAGAGTTCCCCTTTAGTTGTAAATCGTCTGTTATTAGGACAGGGTAAAGCACCAAAGCAGGACGAATTGAGGAGCAATGCCACTTAAAAGGTTAAGCAGTATAGTTATAAAACAGATGATGGTCTAACTGCGGTTATCAGAGTGAGAAGATTACGTTCAAATTCTTAGTTCTCAGTAGTAAAGTAACAACATATGGTTTGTTTTCAACAAAAATACTGTAACAGTCTTGAAATGCAGATTATCAACCAAAAATAATATCTACATGATTGTATACCTTCACTATACAAAATTGGTACTTTATCAACAGTGAGCGGTGATTTGCTCTTTATTGCAATAAGTAAAGGACTACCACGTCTAAATAAAGATAACACATCCAGTCAAGAAGGAGCCTTGTAGATAGTGAATAGTTTAAGAAATATTTTCCAATTGACAAACCTTGCTACCACGCACTGGCCAGGGAAGTGAAGACTTTTAAAGACCAAAGCAAAAGCACCTTCCTAAGAATAAGTATGGATGACTTTGAGTGGTGATGGTGGTAGTGATGATGATGATGGTAATGAGAATGGTAATGATGATGGTGATGGTGATGATGGTGATGATGGTGATGATGGTGATGATGGTGATGATGGTGATGATGGTGATGGTGGTAATGATGATGATGATGGTGATGATGATGGTGATGATGGTGATGATGGTGATGATGGGATGATGATGGTGATGATGATGGTGATGATGGTGACGATGGTGATGGTGATGATGGTGGTGATGATGATGGTGATGGTGGTGAGAATGGTAGTGATGATGGTGATGATAGAGGTGTGAACAGTATTTTATATTGATACCATCTTACCAGTTGTTTAACAACAAGTTCAACTAATTCTCTAAAACACAAGGTCCCTTCCTCTTCATTCTATAAACAAACATTGCACCATCAGAGTAGCCTAGTTGACACCATAGTGTGCTCTTTCAAATCAATGATACCTGAATCAAGTCCAGCTAGGTGATACTTCAGCAAATGTGGATGTAAACTTACTGATTTCTCATACAAATATTTCGCCAGTTTTGGGATCACTTCTGTGTCTGTTTCCGACTCAAATTTGTATCCCTTGCTTTGCTAGAAGAAAAAAATGGACAAATAATCAAACAATTACAGCACAATATATATACTGAAGGAATTGAACCCTGAATCGAAATTTCTGTGATCACAGTAAGAATTTTGGATATGTAAATCCTACATTTTGATGGATTTGTAAGAAAAATGTTTGAGGGACCTGACTCAGTGTTAAACATTAAGTCAAGTCCCTTAAACATTTCTTATAAATCCTTCAAAACTTAGAATTCACATATCCAAAATTCCTACTGTGATCACAGAAACTTTGACAGTGTAAACCAAGCTATGGAGATGAAAGCTGCATGCACCTCAACCCACTGTGATACTAAGGGAGAACTTACCAGGAATGTTATGTTTGTGATGTTACTCTGAGTGTATATCCACACTGGGCAAGCTTGAAAAATATGCCACGGTGGGAATCGAACCTACGACCTTTGGAATACCAGCCCAATGCTCTGCCAATGCTCTGTCTGACCGCGTAGCTCAGTTGGCAGAGCATTGGGCTGGTATTCCAAAGGTCATAGGTTCGATTCCCACCGTGGCCGGGCATATTTTTCAAGCTCACCTGGTGTGGATATACACTCAGAGTAACACCACAAACATCATATTCACCTGAGTACACAACAGCAACACAGAAAAAATCTTACCAGAAATGTTTTAATGTCTTTGAAATTTGTGATAATGCCATTGTGAATGACAATAAATTCTGCAAAAATAAAATTAAATGTTCAATCCACATGTGCAATATTATAGTTGGGGGTGGGGCTTAAATTTGGGGGGGGGGGGGCTTAAATTTTGAGGGGAGTTATAGTTGGGTGGCTTATATTTGGGGCTCCTGTTAACCCTTTAAGTGGCAATGTCTAATGCCAGATGATTTTACTTGTCAGGGGTAGAGTGCTGCCACTCAATAGGCTAATCCATTAGACCACAATCCTAATTATTTAATACTGTGTCTCTTACCATTCTCATGAGAAGATCTGTGCGGGTGACTGTTCACTTCATTTGGGACGCCGTGTGTTGCCCATCTTGTGTGAGCAATACCAAAATGAATGTCAAATTTCTCATCAAAATTTACATCTTGTAAATCTAAAGTGAATGCTTTTCAGTTACAACAAATTAAATCAAAGTACAAACTAATCTCTCTAATGTGGATACCTCTCTAATAAAGACACCTCTCTATATAATATAGACACCTCTGTAAAGACACAAGTTCTCTAATATGGGCATCTCTCTAATACAGACACTCTCTAATATGGACCCCTCTCTAATACAAACACTCTCTAATACAGACATCTCTCTAATATGGACCCCTCTCTAATACAGACATCTCTCTAATAAAGACACCTCTCTAATATGGACCCCTATCTAATACAAACACTCTCTAATACAAACACTATCTAATACATACACTCTCTAATATGGACCCCTCTCTAATACAAACACTCTCTAATAAAGACACCTCTCTAATATGGACCCCTATCTAATACAAACACTCTCTAATACAGACATCTCTCTAATATGGACCCCTCTCTAATACAAACACTCTCTAATAAAGACACCTCTCTAATATGGACCCCTCTCTAATACAAACACTCTCTAATAAAGACACCTCTCTAATATGGACCCCTCTCTAATACAAACACTCTCTAATAAAGACATCTCTCTAATAAAGACATCTCTCTAATACAGACATCTCTCTAATACAGACATCTCTCTAATAAAGACATCTCTGTAATACAGACATCTCTCTAATACAGACATGCGTCTAATAAAGACATCTCAGCTCTAATACAAACACACTCTAATAAAGACACCTCTCTAATACAGACATCTCTCTAATATAGACATCTCTCTAATACAGACACCTCTCTAATACAGACATCTCTCTAATACAGACATCTCTCTAATACAGACATCTCTCTAATACAGACATCTCTCTAAAACAGACACCTCTCTAATACAGACACCTCTCTAATACAGACATCTCTCTAATACAGACACCTCTCTAATACAGACACCTCTCTAATACAGACATCTCTCTAATACAGACATCTCTCTAATAAAGACACCTCTCTAATACAGACATCTCTCTAATATAGACATCTCTCTAATACAGACATCTCTCTAATACAGACATCTCTCTAATACAGACATCTCTCTAATACAGACATCTCTCTAATACAGACATCTCTCTAAAACAGACACCTCTCTAATACAGACACCTCTCTAATACAGACATTTCTCTAATACAAACACTCTCTAATACAGACACCTCTCTAATACAGACATCTCCCTAATACAGAAATCTCTCTAACACAAACATTCTCTAATGAAGACACCTCTCTAATACAGACATCTCTCTAATACAGATATCTCCCTAATACAAACATCTCTCTAATACAAACACTCTCTAATGAAGATATCTCTCTAAACAGACTTTTCAAATAATTTGTCATGGTGAAATGTTGCATGTTACTGGCAGATTGAGATCTTACGGTCAATTGCATCCTGGAGTGCCTTGACCTTTCCACGTCTCTTCACTAATCTAAAATGAGAAAAATTAATAGAGAGTAACTAAGAATGGACTTTAACTAAAACTAAAATGTTGATCTAGACAAAAATTTCATCACAGCTTGAAAGAGCATCACAAAATTAGTAATATTCCAAAGTTTCGTTACGAAATGTTGTAAAATGCGGATAATATAGCCTTGCGAAATTTGCAATTTTCAGTCATTTTAGATTACAAAC